AAGATTAAGTTACTAACTGATGAACTACCAACACTTCTTAATCTGCATAACAGACATCCCAATAGATACAACTCAGCAACATGCCCACGATGTCACAATAACAACATAGAAGACTTAGTACACTGGCTGACCTGTAATGCAAATACAACAACAATTCAACAAATCATACAAGATGTAATAAACCCATAGCGAGACAATAACACCTACTAATGCTTTATAGCCAACTTCATAAATAAACACATAAATGAACAAATTCCCATTGGGGTTATAACCAGAGATACTCTATTTCCGATAAACCAAGATACATCAACAACTAACAACACAACTAGGCTCTACCACTACATAATAAAGAAAATCCACGACCAAATATGGGTTCCTTCAAGAATAAGTATACACGATCACAATAATACAACACAGCAATCACATACACAAAACTACCCGAATCTAAACCAAACACCCACAATAACACAAAACTACAACAACAATAATCTAAACAATACCTCTAAACAACAACTAAATTACAATAGATGGTTAACTAATTATATAGAACATAATCCCCTGCCTTACTATTTGTTATTCATGACCACCTTCATTATAATTTTCCGCATGCCCAGGAATCTTTTGTGGGAAGATTCCCGGTCACGTGAAAACTATAATGAAGGTAGTCACAAATAACGTAAGGCAGGGGATTATACATTTATTTTCTGTGAGGAGTTTAAAATTACAACAGAGAGGATTCCACAATGATCATATAATACAGATGGCCCTTCGGGCCATTTGTATCCTATGACTATCGGGAATCTCTGTTGTAATTTTTAAGCTCCCAAGAAATAAATAATACTAATTACCCCCCAGCACAAATAAATAACACAGTTTAGAGGTTACAACCTATCTAGCTAAAATTTAGGTCTGGAGTAAATTAGCATAGCTTTAGCTCTATTTCTCCTTCCACAAAAGATCAATGTATCATTTATAAGAAATTGTAAATTATATATTAACACAAAATAAAGGAATAAGGAAATAACCTCTTTTACAAAAAAAAAAAAAAAAAAAAAAAGATGATATTAAGCAATTTGAAGAATATAATAATGATGAATTTAATTATAACCATGATAATGCAATTTTGTTAGATGATTTTTATGGATCAAATATTACATAGACAAATTTTTTAAGATTAACTAATCGTAATCATTGTAGGATGGATGTCAAATATGGAAAAACACATATTGTAGCTATGTATATTTGTATAACAGCAAATGACTCAATTGAAAACCTTTATAAAAAATTACGCGAATCTAATTCTTCTATTAATATTGATGCATTTATTTGAAGAGTTAGATTTATAATAAAATTTGAAGGCAATTCTATAAATACAAATATTGGAAAAGGAGATGTTATACATATTTTTGAAAAAGGAAATAAGCAAGACTTTAATAATTAAATATTTAATATTGAATTTAATAAAAGAACAACTTTAGAACAGGCTAAAGAAGTTAATTACAGATTTAGGAACTAATAGAACAATATTACATGATCTTGTAACAGGATTGTATTATTGGAGACAAAATTAGACAAATAAAATAAATAAATATTCTACTACTAAAAATATTGATGATATTACTGATCAAATTATAACTAATATCTCTAAATCAAAGCCTGAAGAACGAGTAATAGCCTTTTCAAATAATAAAAACTACCAAAATACAGAAAGAAAAATTAATATAGTTGAGGCTATATCATCAAAAAAGCAAAACCAAAATGATAATTTAATTGAAAAACCAGATTTACAAGCTGAATTATCTGGATACAATTCATCTTTCTCTGCTTATAGTAGTAATGATTCTGAATATACAAAAAATCAAAAAAGAAAAAGCAAAAGTGCCAGAAAATGTAAAGCCTTATCCTGTAATTTTGATGATGATTCAAGCAAAGAAGTTAATATTGAACAAGCCCAAATTCAACAAAATTATCAAGACTTTTTTAATAACAAGAAACAAAAACTTGATGATGATTTTAATTATACAGAAGATGTTGAATTAGATGTTGGAGAGGAAGAACCTTATGAACAATTTGCACGTGAAAATAGAAACAATTCATTATATCAAGGCTTGAGTAGATTATTAAAAAATTTTTAAATATTATTATTGTATTAAATTATTATATTATTACTATTGTATTAAATTATTATATTATTTAAATAAATTATTTATTATATATATAACTCTTTTTAAACTTGTTAAATAAAATGACAATTTATAAAAATAATAAAAGTGGTATACCAAATATTAGTTTCTATAAAAAACAACACAGTTATGTATATGAGCTTTTAATTAATAGCTATCATCATCGAAAATACTTTAATATTAAAAAACATGAGAATGCATTGCGTTCAGCCTTTGAGTACAAGCTTAAAAATGAAAAGAAATTAATCAGAAAAATGAAAAGTAATTAAATATATTTTCTTGCTTTTTATTGCTAAATTTATTTATTTTTTTTTAGCAAATTATTATAAAATTCCTTTTATTTTAGCTAACAAATATAAACCAAATAAGAAAAAAAACAAAAATATAAGCAAAACTGAAATTAATCAAGATTATTTTTTCAATATAGTTTATCAACAAGTTATCAAAAGATTAAACAAAATGCCAAATTAGACAGAATTTTCTTTATAGTGAACAAGCACAAAATAATTTAAAATAAATTTATCTTATTGGGTTATTCAAATTAATAATTATTAAATCTAAAGTACCAATTAAAATTTACTAGTATATCTATTCTCATTTTAGATTTATTAACAAATAGATTTTTCACATGATAGAAACTTAAAAGCAGCCAATTCTTGCTTTACAACTGCTCAAGTTTTTATAAACTTTTAAAACACTAAAAATTAAACTTAAAATACTTTAACCACTTTAAAAATCCTTATTAATATGTCTTTATTTAAAAAACTCACAAACAAATTTAACAAAAAACAATTAAATATTGTTCAAAA